TTTTGAGATCTCTTTTGAACCCTTTGTCTTTGCTGGACCTCCGGTTAGAACTGGACTTGTTCTTGTCGTAGGTCTGGTCATTTTTCTTTTGTGAACAGTCTTTAGCCCTGTGCTCAAGGGAACCACAAACAAAACAGCCTTGGTTATTAAAAGATTGAAAGTTACTTTTACCTTGTTTGTTCCGGTTGTTCTTGAACCGTCGGTACATCTTCCCGAATTGTCTAGCAAATATGCTCATCTCATCTTCCGATTCACTTTCGGATTCTTCCTCCTCTTCTCGAGCTTTTAGAGCAATTCCTCTCTCTCGCCTTACAGTCTCAGCGTCTTGCTCTTCTTGAAGCCCTAACTCATAAGTCAAGAGTGAACCGGTCAAGTCTTCAAGAGTCATGGTGGTCAGGTCCTTTGCTTCCTCAATAGCCGTGGTCTTAGGCTTCCATAACGAGGGCAAGCTTCTCAAAATTTTTCTCACTTGATCTTCCACAGTAATATCCTTTCCAAGGGCTGAAAGCTCATTGATGATATTAGTAAAACGTGTAATCATATCCTTAATTGACTCTCCAGGCTTCATTACGAATAATTCATAATTACGCATAAATATGTCAATTTTAGATTTTTTCACACGTGAGGTACCTTCATGAGTAACCTCGAGCAAATCCCACATTTGTTTGGCAGACTTGCATCCTAGAACCCGGTTGTGTTCGGAAGGACCAAGTCCACAGATCAAATATTTTAGTGCTTGGGCATTATGCTCGAGTTTTTGATAATCATCAGTAGTAAATTCAGATTTAGGTTTAGGAACAACATTACCTTCGCCGTTTAGCTTTGTGATGACATTGTCGCCACCTTCTATCACATTCCATACCTGATAATTATCGGCTTTGATAAAGTTCTCCATCCGACTCTTCCAGAACTGATAGTATTTCCCATTGAACAATGGTGGTCGTTGAGTCGAGTAACCTTCTTCCAATCGGTCAACCGTATTCATTTTGCCGGATCTCTTCCCAAGGTATTAACCTCTATGTGGTGAAGACCGGCTCTGATACCAATTGATGAAAACGGTTAGCAACACAAGAGGGGGGGTGAATTGTGTGTGTGGAACCGTGGCAGTTTTTCGCCCAGTTCTAGTGCGGGGTGAAGGGTATTGCGAAATAGTAAAGGGCACAAGGATTTAACGAGGAAAAATCCCTTGGCTCAAAGGGATTAAAAAACCTCGACCTCCCTCGGAGGAATTTTAACAACTTCACTAAAAAGCCTTTGAATGATTACAAGGGAAACTCTCCTAGTCTACCCTTGAGCCACCCCAACTCTATCCTCTCTAGGAAGAGTTACGCTTCTCTACCTTGCGGGTAGAGAGCCTCTCAGCTTTACAACAAAGCTCTCACAACACACGTTACCCAACCCGAGGAAGCTACACTTAGCTAATCCTCAATAACCCAATTACAATATAGGAAGAGAATAAGAACTCTGTCTAGAACTCCGGGAGCAGTTTCAGGTGCCTTGAACTTTGTATTTCTCTCGAGTATCTCTCTTGATATTTTCTCGGTCAAGCACACACTGCTTCTTCTTCTTGATCTCGATTATATAGTCTACTAGGAATGGATCCGTTGAGACACTTCTTTCCTTGAATGGTTGAGGAACTTGCCTTGAAATTATTCAAAATGCTTTCCTTTTATTTAAGGATCTTCTAGCTCTTAATTATGATGGTCCTTGGTCAACCATATATATATGGGAGCAGGAGGATACGTGCATATCATGAGCAAGTCAAAAAGGTATAGAGCATATTATGTGATCAACCATTTAGTAACAATTCCACAAAGATATATATCAATACATATCAAGGGAAGTAATTTATTCACTTAAACTATGCAAGCATGCAACGGATCATATTTCAAATACTATGCAGGAGAATATTTGTTTAATAGGTATGCACAATCAACTAGCTGATCAATTAAAGATTCTTTCCATAAAATAATAAGCTATAATAATAAGTCATGCATGAAAATATATTTTTGCTTAAAATAATATTCTTGACAAAGTATAAGCACTCATATAAGGAAAGCACATATTAATTAAATCATACACCATGTAAATCAAACGTTCACACAGAATAGAATTAAGAATAATTTTGTCTTCCGTTCCGTATGGAACTGAGAGCGGTTCCGTCCGCAGTTCCACCTGCATAGTTAGTCATTAATAAAACTACATACTCAACAGATTCTTTCCTTTGAGATCGGTCTTCTTAGATGGGCAAGATCAGGACTTGATGTACTATCTTTAATAGCTCGGATCTCCATATATATATTTCGGTCCTCTTGCATGGAAATCATTCAAAAATATTTCCTTATAGGTATTAAAAGATATTCTTTTTATTTGATTGAAGGAAATCATTTTTCTTAAGGAAACATTCCTTGTGAGAGGATATGCACGAAAATCCTTTTTGAATTTTGAATAACAACAATTATTTTGGAAACTTGCTTTGTAGAAAGATCTCTTAATTAATGCCTTTGATTTAAATAACTTTCCTTTAAAGAAAAAATCCTTTCTTTGTATGATCATTGATTATTTTCTTGCTTAAAAGGTTCTCTTTAATTTAGCAAGATAGATCCGAAATTAAATGGAGAGAAAAGATATTTTAAGCAAGCCGGATTAATCAATCTTGGATTTACGGTGCAGTTCTCGGACCAGTTCTACGGCTTGTTCCAGAGCACGACTTAAACTCTTTTCATGTAGTCACTTACAACCAAAAGTAACACTAGTCGTTTGTCATCAACAAAACAATACGTTCCAACACCCTCTGTGTTATAATTATTCTTGTGCAAAACCCCCTCCAAGAACAAATTTTACAATTTTTAAAATCACTTTTCATAATAACATGATTAAATATGCAAGTATCTTTGTCTAAATTATAAAAAAACTAATTATTTCTCATTCTTTCCAATTTAATTTGTTCATAGAAGGAGTTTTGCACTTGAATAACCATAACACAAGGGGGTTTGACGCATTTTTAAATCACAGAGGGGTAATGCGCCGATTTTATATTTCACGGGGTTTTGGTGCATTAAACCCAAAATGTTGGAGCAAAAACCTAGTCACAAGTGCTGAATAATGTTTCATAGCATAGCCTTAATTAGCATGGTGTGAGGCCAGTTACGGAAATAGGAGTGCATGCGGTACCCAATCTACAGACGGGACCAGCCAATTTCTTACCCAAACGGCCAAAAACACACCGATTTCTAGTTTCACACCAAATGAGTACCAACATTGGTCCAAACCAAGAGCCCATTTGGCAACATTGTTTTTTGGCTTTTCAGGCTTATCAGCCAACTTTTTCACCAAACACGTAACTTTTACTTTCACGGGCTGAATTGTGTAATAAGCAGAAAAAGTAAGGTTGAAGTTACTTTTATGGCTGCATTTGTTGAAGTTCCTGTAGATGACCATTTTAGCTATTTTTACATATACTTTTTCTTTATTTTATCAATAAAATATATTCTAAAAATATGTTTTTCTTAAATCAGCAAAATCAGCCAAATCAACCGATTTTCGTGCTACCAAACGGGCTCCAAATCTAACTCCTTGAAAATACAACCTGACTAGACCTATAAAAAACCGGGCCGGCCCGCCCGGCCCGCCCGCACAAATTAGCGGGCTTGGGCATATATATTTACCCACCGACCCGGCCCGTGCCCGGCCCGCAACCACATATGGGCGGGCTTGGGTTAGGGTGTAGGCCCGTTCGGGCCGATAAGTCCGGCCCGCTACATTTAGTATACATACATATATATTTTTATATATACTAGTTTATGTATTTATTTACATGTACACATGTATATTTTTATATTTACTAATTTATCTGTATACATATTTATAGTTTATTATGTTTAAATTTAAGTATTTAGTTCTTAACAAATATTCCAACCAATATAATATCTATTTTTGTACTTAACGATAATACTTTGTGCATGAATTTTAAATTTTAGATATAGTTTCTCATTATTATTTTTATGTAAATATTTTTTGTGTATGTGATGAAAGGCCCATATACATTATAAGCGTATTAGCAATTTTTTAAATGTTGTAATATTATTTATAAAGTATTAAATAAATTATATAATTTTGAAAAATTTAAAGTCTTCCCGGGCCCGGCGGCCCGGTGGACTACCCGGCCCGCTCTTACGGGCGGGTATGGACATGGGGTTAGGCCCGTTTTTGCGGGCTGGGCTGGGCCCGCCCACACACGATGGGCAGAAAACTTATGAAAAGCCCGGCCCGAGCCCGGCCCGAACCCGCTTTTGTGCAGGTCTAAACCTGACCACTTCTGTTTTCAATTATAACAAAATCTAAAACCAGAAACCAAATCGAAAATAAAACCGCAATTGACTAGATAACTAGACCAGAACCGCAATTGACTAGAGAACTAGACCAGAACCACTGTAAATCGGTCTGAAGAAAACTTCATTGCCACCGACCCACCATACAAGTGGCAACAATTTTGATGTTTTAATTGCACTAAATTTTCTGATCTTGTCTAATCTATTTAAATTTGAATTAAGCTGACCTAATAAACATATGTTTTAGGTATAATTTACTACATACTCTTTAATTTAAATGTAATCTGATTTAAAACTGAAATCAATCAAACTAAAAACATCCTCACACCACCTACGAGGCTACAACAGTTTTTTGATATTTTTTCATGGCATTAGTAAAAGCGAATGTGATTTCAAAATTTGTAAACCAATTTTGACCTTGCCAAGTGAATCAAGTTGCCATCCCTACAAGAGATACTACAACTTCAATTGCATCCTCAACTTTGTCATTGGCATTTGAACCATTTATGGGAAAGATATACGAGCACATGTTTTTTGATCTACGGATTAGAGAAGCAAGCAAAATAACGTTTCATGAACATCAAAATTAAAAAGAATAGTAAACCTAGTCTAGGGGGTTTGCTGTCTGAGTTGATAAAATTCATGGTCGGCCTGGTGAAATACAGCCCTCTCCAATTTTGCTCCCACATACCACATCTACCTTAAGAACAATTCTCATAAATTTAAGCACAAATTCCCTTCATTCAAATTTCAGAGCTTTTGTGATAATGTGATATGAATTTGCATAAAAAACAGGTTGAAGTTTCAAGACTATGAGTACATGTTACACAACACAAACATGGCTGTCTGTGTATTAGAAATGTTAATTAATGAGGAAGCTCTGATGAGACAAACGAGCCTCCTAAACACGTCACTGGTGAATGTACCCTTGTCACTGCTGCACTGGAAGTTCTGAAGATATGCAAAGCTTTGAGTCGGCTCCTCCACTTATAATGCTATCCCCTCTCCACCAGTCAGCGCATAATACCTGTATTGAATTTAATTAAAAAAAAAAGGTTGTAATATCTATTTCTAACATATCTATATGTGAAATTCAGGATCCAAATACATCCTGAAGAGTAACTACAGGAATTACCTTATCCTTGTGTGAGTCAATGACAGCAAGTGGCCACTGCAACACAGAATGTCGTAGGAAGACATGTGAGAGCTCAAACAAAAGCTGATACACGTAATCAATAATCGAGGAGGAAAACATTATTTGTTACCGCTGTTCTCAAATCCCATAGCATAACTTTTCCATCATAAGATGCAGAAACCAAGAGATGCCACGATTTGTCATGCCATTTGCAGGCAGAAATCCAGGAACTGTGTGATGAGAACTGGAAGATAGGGGCCAATGAATCTAATCCGAAAAAAGAAAAGCATGTTAGAAAACATCTTATAAACTGCTTACTGAAAACAATGCTCAAATCCCAAAAAAGACAGGAAGAATAAGATAAGTTCATGCAATGACAAATTCATGTTTGTCATTGCCAAGGAATCGTGATGAAGAAAAAATTTGATTAAATCTTTTTAAATCTTAATCTTCATATACTAAAAATGAATTCTATCAACTATACGTAGTATATCATTGCCAAGAAAAATGTGAAGAAAAATAAAATTATCATATGTTTCCTGTTACCCTTATCAATAATAATTAAGTTATTTCCTTCCAAAAAATGAGTTTGATCAGCTATCTAGTAATGATTTATCAATTCGAGCCAATTTCTTATTTGACCTAATTCTATTTCCTCCCTAACTTCCTTAACATTCTTTGGGTTTCATAGTGACCCTAATTGACCAAATTAATATGCTCTTCCATGCGAAGAAAAGTGAAGCGTGTGTGTGGCAAATTGTTTGGATATCTGAGGTAGATAGAGTAGTGAACTAGTGATTGCCCATAGACACACCTGGTTTCCGAGGATCCCATATCCTTAGAATAGGATCAGAACATCCAGCTGCAATAAGGGAAGAACTTTCACCTCCAACATCAAGACAGTTAAATGCTCTACCAAAAGACTGCAAAGAGTAGACATGGTTACTACAATCTGCAATCATGATAATATAATATGTGCACTAGAAGTAAACTGAATTCCAGTATGAAACATGAAGGGTAAGAATGGGTCTGGTTCGGCTCGATGGCCTACATCCGCATTAGAACCCACCTTAACAAGAGAATTTGAAGATCCACTCCCCTCCCACTGTTGGATGGATACAACCCTGGGTACCCACCCTGATATTCAAAATTTATTTTACGAATAAATGCATTTTATATATGTTCACTTCGAGGACTTGTTACATTTGAACCTTGGCACACACTCAAAAGTATAATAACAAAATGATTTTAGCATTTTAATATTTTTTAAAATATTCATCACAAAGTAAAATTAGAGTATTTCTATTTTAATGCCGAAATAAAATTAACTAGTGAGAGCATACAGCCATACACATTTGTTACACACACACAGACATACATATACACTCATCACATTGCAATAAAGTATTCAATAGAAAATGTGGGTCAGGTCACATGGTGCTTAAACCCGAACCCAGTCATTCATTGAATTATTAACAGTTTAAAACAGTAGAAGCCTATTGTTAGAAATGTGAGCTTGGTGTGCAAGGATTTTTTACTTTGACTGAAATTTGCTGGTCTGATCTGGTCTGTTTAAGTCTGGTCTGAACTGATCTGGTTTGGTCTGGTAAACTCTGGTCTTTGTGTATTTTATAACTAAGAAATTCAGGCATGGTCTGGGACTGAAAACAGTCCAAGTAAAAACATCCTAAAATATCATTTATTCATTATTAGCATGATCTGATTAAGAATATCACAAGGCAACTGCAGTTTCCTGATCTTTTCCTAAAATGTTCTATTTTAGTTAAGAAAATGGCATTCATGCCACTTACCATGTTTAGTGTATCTTTTCCTGTCTCAACATCCCAACTTCTAATAGAATGATCCCAGGATGCTGAATAAATTGTGTCATTCTTTGGCCATACCACAGAGGATACGTTTTGTGTATGTCCAACAAGTGTAGATGATGCCTCCCCCTGTTTCAAATGGAGAAAAGATTTTATAACCCACACATGCCTGGCTTAGAACTAGTATATTGCATAAAATTGAAGCATTCAAAAGGCAACATATTTCTAGTTGAATATTGGGAGTTTAATGGATAAAACAAAGATTATAATATATATGCTACCATTATGTGGGTTCCACTTTCCTGTCGATAATCTTGGCAAGAAAGGAAAATATCAGGATCATATTTATTTCTAAAAGAAAATAGTACATTCCAAAACTCACCTCTATTTGAGGATCATTGTCTTTTTTCCCCTTTTTTCTTTTTTTGACAGATACGGTATCACAAAATTCATCCAAATCATTTGTCTGCCATAGATTTATCATGCAGTCCCAAGAACCTGAACACACCTAGAAAACAAAGTTTACAGAAGATTTAGAAACAATATATTGGAACTTTAACTCAATTTATAAGAAAAACAAACCCATAAAAAAATGAATAGAAAAACCATTTCTCCAGTGGGATGTGCTGCTAGGGTCTGGACAGAAGCATTATGCCCACGTAAAACCTTACAGGCTCTAATGCTCATTGGTTTTTCCAGAAGCTCATCTACATCAACCTTCCAAGCGTAAACAAAAAATGTCAAGGGACGAGCACATTATCAAGGACAAAACCTCATTATACATCGTATAAAAACTAAAAAATAAAAAACAAATGCATTTAATTTTATTACCTTCCACAACATGACTGTTCTATCTTTTGAAGCTGTTGCTACCAATTCATCAGCACCATTTTCAAAGTCTGGTAAGAAATATCAATTTGGATTTCAGAAAGTGGGAAAATAAACAAATAGGAAGGAAACAAGGCACCTATCAGAGTAACAGGAGCACGTTAAAAAGTTATTATAATTGGAAACAGAGATCTGTAGCAAATAGCAATGTCACATTCAGGTGGGTATATTATACATTGGATGTACCGTGAGTCTGACATAGTCACACCAGGCATACGCAAATGAGCATTCTTAAAAAGCAAAGGAGCAAGTAGAGCAACCGTCATATACAATGGGCATTGTTTAGACAAAAATGAAACATAATAAAAAAAATGAATCAACACGAGAAGACAATGAGATGAGCATTCTCTTGGAGCAGAGTGAGCGACCGGAAAGAAAATACAAAAATAAGACTAGATGTGCATAGTGCATGCACCTGAAGTAAGATACAATTTGTGTATTCCCACAACAATGACTGTTGGCTATTAGTTCAATAATAAATACAGACTGAGCGCTGTAGAGCTTAACAACTATTGTCAGGTAGCAGTCATACAGAAATAGGGTAAATGGACCGATTAAAATTCTATATTCAGCACTCTAAATAAATAAATAAAAATAAAACCTTAGATGTATGATCAAGGCTTGTGCCAAATTCCATTGATCTGACACGTACTGTTCCATTATTGAATAGAAATTGAAAATAGAGAAGTAGATAAAGAAAAGTGGGAAAGAAAATATTATTTGGTGTTGCATGGGTGGAGAGGAAGATAGGGAAGAAAGAGAGTTTTAGTCTGTAAATAGAGAAAAATGTGGGGCGATAGGTCAAGCATAAAACAACAATCAAAACTTTATTAGTTTGAATAAGCCATAAGGATAGAAACACATTAAAAGTGGACACTATAGAGATTAGAGAGACATTTCTTTTTAGAAAAAAACTCATTAGGTGATGATCCTATGTCAAACTTTTCACCACCCAAAGAATGGGTGCCACATAGGAATGTCTACCTATAATGTCCACTTCTGAGGAATCTCTAGCATTACTCAATTAATTTTATGTTATCCTACAACATATACATAAACCAAAAGGATATAATTATATACTCCATATATCATATATGTGTCCACTAAAGAACTTTTTTCTCTTCATATTTCTATCCAATCAAGCTAGAGAGGGGTGAAGACATAAAACATAACTTATCTGTCTCTTCTCTGTTTTCCCAATCCAAGCACTATAAATCAGCTCATTTCCAATTCTCACATAATTCTTTCATTCATACTTCTTTAATTGTCCAAACAAATCATGAATTGTGAAATAAAATTACATGAAATCAATAGCAATCATCTCTACAAGCCATATGACCATACCTTTGGGCTTGACAACACAAACAGCTGTAACTGCACTTGTGTGCCCCTCCAATATGTGACTACAAGATCCTGCAGCTTTCCATAACCTGGAAATGGTTATTAACAACCGCATTCATCTTGTTTAAGAACTAAAATCCAATAGTGCTGCAATAGGAAAATATGAATACATGTGTAGAAAAACTTAGTCATACAAAGTCCCTGCAAAATTACCTTCCAAGACCATCATAACAACCTGTTAAAATGAACCTGTAAAATGACATACAAGAACATAGAAATACTGAATAAGTGAGCGTTATATCAGACAGACTCTTGAAATATATCTTTACATTTCTGCATGATATTATAGATCTAAAAAATAACAACCAATGCCAGATTTCTTCAGAGTAAAAAACAAACTACAGAATAGAGATGTACAGGACAAGACAATTAATGTTCACAAGAATGCAGAGTCCATTTCAACTTGTATGAAAAATAATACAGGGGTAGATCCGTCTTACTTGGGGTTTGAACCATCAACAGCACTGACCCAATCATCATGTACAGAAGGTTCTTCTTCTCTCCTTGGGACCACCGCCTTAATGTATTCAATATCTAATATTTTCTCCTGCAATTAAAAACCCACTAATAATTAGGCCAACAGAGGATCTATAGATAGATGTGAGAACCTTTTGAAAAGATGTTAAAAACAGGAACTATAGAATTGCCAAATGTCAATTGAAAGCATGTTGTTTGCAATGAAGTTACAAAACTTAAATTGATATGAGCTTGCACACACATATATAAAAATTAATGGATTGAAATTTGACTATATAAAAGTTCAAAGAGAACATTCCCTGAATAGGAGTAAAACATAGCATAGTAACCCATAGTTTATCAAAAAGGAGTGTCATTGTCTTCTTCCCAACATAGGACTCATTCACTCCTATTTTGGAAAGTTTTTATCCTTTACTCTTTTAATAGAACTAAACAAATCCTATTTTGGGAAGATAACCTTTTTTGTCCTACTTTAGAACTTTCTCCATTTTTACTCTTATTTTGAGAAATTTCTTAAGTTTTCTAAATAGGCAGGTGAAACCATATATTATCGTATGATGATAAACTCACAGCAGAAATGTTCTTTGCGAGGAGGAACTCCTCTAGTGACATCCTGATGAATTCTCCACCGATGAGGAAATCAAAAGGCTCAGATTTCCAATCATCATTCCCTGACGATAAATTGGCAAACACGCTCAAGTATAAAGAGTAAATAAGCTATGCAGTACAAAGTAGTTTCATATAGGATTATTAGCTTACTTTATCCCAAACTATCATCAAATTCACAAATCTATCCTATTCTTTCACTTTTATTAAAAAGGCTCAAACTTCATCTTTTTCAACAATTATGATTATCTTTTTAGTTTTTTTCAAATTTACACACTTTAATCAATACCAATAAGATATAATCGATACAAGTCTGTAAACTCAAAGCTATAAGAAGTGAAAAAATATGAAATATAAATATGGTTTTCTTCTTAAACTTTACTAATTCATCTATTGAAAGTGTAATTGTTAGAAAAATTGAAGTTTGAGTCTTTTTATAATAAATGTGAAAGTATAGGATAGATTTGTGAATTTGATGATAGTTGAGGATATATTTAGCTAATAATCCTTCAATATATACTTTAATATATAGCCAATGGAGCTGTAGTTTTCCCCCTTGGAAAACGTAGTGAACTTGTAAACCAGTTGTTACAAAAAATATAAACTTTGGCAGCCATAATGCATGATATTAGCAACCAAACCAAATTTTACGACCATTCCAGTGAATGTAGAAATAGAGGTTGAAAAAATATATCTAAAATAAATATTTGATTAAAATTCAGCAAGAACTGCTGAATTTGATGAGTACCAGCTTTAAGGAGGTTGTTGACAATGGCAGAAAGACCCAAACGGGTGAGATTGGATGGAATAGCTATAGAATTGGGCGGGGCCTTGAACGGAGGCTTCAACTTCGTTACGAACCGAACCTGTACACGCCTTGCTGCTTCTTCAGCCTCCATATCCATCTGTTTCTCTCTATAGAGGGCTATTTCTCTCTATAGCTGCTTCTTATGGGTATTTAGGTTTACAAAAGTTCAGCTCTTCTTCAGTCGTTCAGCAGTTCCGCGCGCGCCCATGTGCTGGGCGCATTTGATATTTTGATGTGCACCCCTTGTTTCCGTGTTTTGAGTAATCCTGCTCATTTAATTTTGCATCCCATTTTGTAAAGGCTGAAGGTCAAATTAATTTTGCATCCCATTTTGTAAAGGCTGAAGGTCAAATAGGTCATTGAACTAACTCAAAGTGTTCAATTCGTCCCTTATATAGAAGGTTCTGTCCGGCCGTCGCCAATTGGGGCGGTTCCTGGTGAAAATTATTGATGAATTTTTTTGGCATCTTTTTCATTAAGTCTAGTTTATCCATGCCAAATTTCAGCTAAAAATTCAACCGTGAAGGCAATCGAATGATTTTTTTTAAGATAACTGCACAGTTAAACAAAGTAGTACATTTCAAAAAAATCATTTGATTGCCTTCCCGGTTGAATTTTTAGCTGAAATTTGATATGGGTAAACTAGACTTAATGAAGAAGATGCTCAAAAAAATTCATCAAAAATTTCCACCGGGAACCGCCTCAATTGGTGATAGCCGGACAAAACCTCCTATATAAGGAGCTAATTGAACACTTTTAAGCTAGTTCAAGAGCCTATTTGACCCTTTAGCCTTTTCTAAATTATAAGTATTTCCAACCATCACCCAAAAATCATTAAGTTAACAATTAAGTTTGTAAGACAGATAAAGTAAACATGCAAATTGTTTAAAAAAAACTGTTTATTAATCGAAAGATGTGCTTAAAGTGTTGCTTACTAAGCATATCACTCTCTCATGTATTAATTAAGCGACATTTTAACATTTTCAGTTTCTGAATTTACTCTTACTTTTACCCTTTGTCCTTACCCCTTATTTTTACCCTACCTTACCTCATACCCCTTATTGTTACCTCTACCTACCATACCTTACCCTGACCCCACCCCCTACTCCGTATGTGTACACATACCCCTTACCGCCACCCTACACCCTACCCCTATCCCTTACTGATACTCGTACTAAACCCCCACCACCTACTTGTACCCTACTCTCACCCCTTACCCCTACCTCTACCCGACCCCTAGCCCTTACCACTTTACCCCCAACCGACCAGTCTCGCTCACCCTCACCCCTATCCACCACTTGCCTACCCCTACCCCCTATCATGACCCTACCACGCCCATACCCCCTTATACGCTACTTCAACCCCTCACCCTACCCCTACCAGGCTCGTACCTTATCCTCCTTACCCAAAACCCTAGCGGTGGGGGTTAATGGGTGGGGGGTAGGTGTACGAGCCTACCTGTCAAGGTAGGGGGTAAAGGTAAGGGTACAGTTACGAGGTAGGGGTAGGGTATTAGGGTGGGTTTGGGGTCGGGGTAAGTCATGGTAGGGGTAGGAAGGGGTAGGGTGTAACACCCGGCCCCGCAGGACCTGAAGTAGTTACTCTGGACCTCTAGTAGTGTCCTCACAAACCACCACTAGCTTTTACTGCGCACTTTGTCCTCACTCATGCGCGCCCTGCGAAACCTCCCAGGGGGTCACCTATCCCAAGACTACTCCCGTGCAAGCACGCTTAACTTTGGAGTTCTTGGGTGATGAGCTTTCTTTAAAGGAGATGCACCTCTGTTGGTATGAGTATTACTATTAATCCTCTTAAATTAATCTCGGGTATTACATAGGGTATTAGAATTGGGGTATAGGGTGTAGCCGTAGGGGTATGGGCAGGGGGAGTAGGATTAGGGGTGCGGGGTGGCCCCATGTATTATATTATATACTTGTGTACATGACTGTTTGTGTGTCTATATATGCATAGGGTTGTTTTGGAAATTTTAATGTTTAAATCGTTTGAAATAACCATGAGCTTAGAGTACTGCTTATTTTGTGCGTCACTTATTAACGTGAGTCTTAATAAGCACTATTTAGTAACCTGTGAAATAAACCTGTCCTAAAGAATGATGTGTAAAGGTAAATGATTTTATAGTAAAATAGGATGCATATATTAATATTTGAGAAAAATATGAAAAATATACTATGGTTGGGCCAGTTTTTAAATAGAATTATGTGTTTCATTTTTTACAAAGTAGGTCATGGTTTCAATTCTATTATCATACGAGTGACCTGACGCTAACACCATTAGAAATCGACAGAGGAAGACGATGAACAGTAACCTCGATTTTCCAAAGTATTCAAAAAACTAAAAGAAACATGCAAGAACGTACGTCTCGTCAAGTAGACCTCTGAACCATCTTCCTCTTTGGATTTTTCAGACTTGTTTGGATTATTTTTTAAAATGAATTTGCTAAGATCGCTTTTTTGGTGGACTTTCCAACGATAAGGGTGACTAGAAACAAACAAAAAACGATGTCATGGAGGTTGCCTTGATGAGGTGCACCTCCTAGTATTTTCATTGAATTTTTCGGGCACTTTTAACAAATAGAGTTATTGCTAACCATCTTCCTCTGACAATTTCTACCGGAGTTAGCATCAGACCCTTTTTTACTCCAGGAGGAGTCTGGGGGAGGGGATCAAGGCTGAAACTCATGTAAGAGACAGTGAGTTTCAAACCCGAGACCTTTTGTAAGAGATAGTGAGTCAATGACCAGCTAAGCTGGACCGCTTTCTCTTGTGAAACACATGCAGAGGCGGCTTTATGGGGAGTTGGCCCAGGCAAGTGCCTTGGGCCTCACATTCCAATGGGGCCTCCAAAAAATTAAAAATGCCTATTAGGATTACCTATTAATCTCCTATTATGTATAATAATGATAATAGAAATAATAAATTACGGAGTAGTTATCTGGATTCTGGACCGTGGAGTCTAATTTACGCATACAGCTCTCTAGTCTCTGGTTGAAATCTCAAGTATCTGCCCTGACGCCTAAATGCCGATTTGCAAAGGACTTGAAGAAATCCTCTGTTCCGAGTCTGTGAGCGGCTTATTCTATTCCGAGTTTGACTCTGTGAGTTTGCTCTCTTATTTCTCTAACCCAGTAATGAAATACATATACTTGTGGCACATACTCTGGTTGAAGTACTATATTCTCTAAGGCATAAAGATGATGGCCTAAATGAGTAAAACTTGTGGCTGTAAAGGGGCCAACCGACCAAGAGCTAAAGTAATACTCCGTATAGGCTAAGATAAACTACTTCGTATATGGCAGACAAGTAGAAAAGCAATATAGGCATTTTTATCTTTTAAAGTCAGATTCTAATTACGGAGTAGTAGTTACTATTGTACGGATAGTGTATAACTTTAATTCTTTAACTTATATAGTTATATGTATTGCCGATTTCCCCTACTGGATATCAGTATTACAGTATTAGGTATTTAGATGAATACGATGATATTTGATAAATACATTATACATGAAACGATTAATTTGATGATATTGGTAGTAGTAAAGTAGTTATTGTGTTTAATTTGTCATTGTATTTAGAAGAATAGAAGTTTTAGGTTTTTTGTTAATTAATTTGTGATTTTTGTTACTTTGTATTATCTATGAATATTGTCATTACTCATTAGGAATGTCTTTAGTATGACCGGAAAGCGGAGATTTGACTCGGGGTCTACAAAAAGAAAGAATAAATTGCAGAAAGATTTGGTTATACAATCGTTTGCCGGCTCTACGGGTCAACTTTGAATATGTTTTTTCTATATGCTGTTCTTTTATTCAATTTATCTCTTTTCAAGATGTTTTTTGTCGTAAGTTTTTTTTTTTTCTGTCTAGGGCCTCCGAAATGCTGAAGACGCCTCTGAACACATGTCTTACTTTATGAGACTAGACTCTAAATTTCAACTCTCTTAGAAGCCAGGACTCCATGGGCTTGGAAGAGAGTCCACGCTAATTGAACTCTCTCATGGGACTAAAATTGATAAGAATTTAACGTGAGATTTGCTCGTTTAGGAAGTCATCTTGAGATATTCTCGATGTAGGGAAACCTTTTAAATGATTAATTATTAACACATAATAAGTCATGGAAAGGTAAACTAAGAATGTGATAAGTTCATATTACAACACACTTTAATGTGTGGAAGAAACTCATTTGTACACAAACTGCAAAGATTACTCCTTGCATTACTTTGCTAAGATTTTTTAAAAGCAATTAAGCAAATAAGTCTTACTGAAATAATAAAAATGATATTGTAATGAGATTCATACCTGCCTTTGTAGCTGCACAAACTGCAAACCAACATATCCTATTTTAATCTAATGAATGATTACATTTTCCTTACGAATATTACATGATTAGCAACCTTATTAAGGTCCCAGAACCTATTAATTATACATTTTCTATACGATAACCTAATAGGCAAATATAATAAAAAACACATCTCGAACAACCAAACCCAAATTGCAAGAGGACACTCAGATAAAATGGCATCTCACAAGTCACAACAAATAGCATTGATTCTACAAACAATAAACCACGATCAACACTCAACAGCGAGAGAGCTACCGTATGAGAGGCATCGGATGAACCGATCGAATGTGCCGATGGTCTACATATCACATTACTTTGCTAAGATTTGGTTTAGCATGCTTTACACGGGTATTTGTACTTTTGTAGAACTTTTATCATGATTTAGATGAAAAATATCTCAAGATGGACTTTGGAGATGGCTAAGAAGAGTTAGAGCTAGAAAATGATTATTTGAATCATTGTCTGACTCACAACCTTAGACCTGCATGACACTCTGTCAATCATTTGACATATATTTTTGTTTACAAATCTAAATCAATTATTCAAGTTTCATAAGAAAGATAAGTTAATGTGATGCAAATCATCCAAAGACATCATGATGAGAATGTGAAAAAAACGAGGTGAAACCAGACAAGGAAGACAGACAATATGGTGGAGATCCCAGGATGAACACATTTCAACATTTCACTAATATCTTTTGATTGGATGATCCAAATCATGTGATTCCAATTGTGGTGGATAAAGGTACTTCATTAGCTATAATGTTGGTGAAGACGCATAGCCAAAGTCTGAGCGTAGAAAAAGATATGTGCATGATCGTGTGCATGAGACACGACGCAGGGGGCTTATTTTGTGCAGTCCATTTTGCCCCATTTCCGACTCTTATTTAATTTGTCTTTCAACCACTGTTTGAAGGTTATGGAGTTTAGAGAG